ATCGAAATATCCTACTTAGGGTCTATCGAGAATGATTACAGAGATGAAGGGTGTTCAAAATCGATATTCTTCAACTTTAGGATATTTTTGTGTCAAAAATATTCATTATCGGTCAGAACGGTTCACATGTCCCTATCTCAACTTTTGTTTCACTATTTACTGATATTCAATCGGAACAGATACAGGGTGGTAAGTCATTCATTCGGGACCAGGTGGTGAATCAAGACAGTTTTATATTAGATGTCATCAAGTACGGTCGAATTTCGTGATCGACATTGAAAAATACGCGAAATGAATTATTCATTGTTCCAAACGGAGTGTTCCCTAAATAATGAGTGATAGTAATGTGTTTTTGTATTCCTCATTTCACGGTGGTGAGTTTTCCTTCAATTTTCTCATTGTAATAAGGTGATAGTATAATCTGATAGGTATTTTGAGCCGATACCACTCGAAATATCTAGAAATCTTAGAGTAGGTACTCCTTTGATTCATTTTCATATACATATATATACGTATTTTTTTGAGAAATGTTTGCGATTAGAACAAACCCGAGAAAAATTTGTCAATCCGTATCGCTGACTGTGCTAGGCTAGGTACCGCAACTGCCAATTTTCACAGATAAATTTTCGGAGTCGTCAAAATTTCTTTGAAATGGTCACACACAAATTGTCAAACTCTTATTATTATCCATATACTCACACTGGAAATTTGTCTCGAAATACCCTGTACTAATTGTATAATTTCCTATAGTATATTATTTTTATATCCAGCCCGCATTCCTGGATAAGGTGATTAGTCATAAAATTTTAACCCCCTGTTAAAATAATATGAATAACTTTTATTCTGCTTTGAACAGTTTGAATTTGGTTTACACTGTAAGCTAGTCCAGTCCTTCAGCTATAAGCTCGTACTGCTTTGAAACATGAGGATCTCTATATGAACTCGCTATAGGGTGTCACCTGAAACTGTGAAAAATTTTTGAAATTTCGAAAGGCTCCAAACGAACCAAAACACTTTTTTTTTAACCTTGACAGCAGATTACCTTGAGATATTCTTAGAATTGTCTTATTATCCCTTTCACTCACAGAGAGATATCGAAAAACTAACTTCCAGGTTTTGCAGTCATAACTTTTTTTCCGTCCCAACCGATTTTTGAAATCTCAGGCTCATGTGGAAAATGTATTTTCAGATGAATTGACTCAAGAAGAACATTGCACAGTGTGTCTCACTTTCAATAGAAGCATCCTTGTATCTCTCGAATTTGTTTAGTTGGGATTCTAAAATTTGCAGGAACGGTAGATATATACTGAAAGTACACACTATGACCGAGTGGAGTCATCTTCAGTGATATACACTGCTTGCTAACAGCCATGGAACCATCCACATAAATGAAATAGGCGAGTTAACTAATTTTTTTTATTCCCTAACACTCAAATAACTTTCAATTTCAAATATTTTTATAAATCCTCATTCGATTTTGAGGTGCTGAGATCAACAATAATGCCACGGTAATTTTCAAACGGCTAAAAATTTACCGCCAGTAAAACCTGACGTCACGATTTCAAGTAGGGACAGACCATAGCACAGTTGCTATATGTGTAAATACGATTGGAACTTAGGGAATATTAGTTATTCAATAATTCATAAATTCTGTAATTCTAAATTTTGTATTGGTTATATTCCTAATCAGACATAAAAATCAATTGTCTCAAAATATTCCCTCATCTGTTGTGGCTTATTGTTTATAATACATTTTTCTTAATATTGATATTATTATATCAATTCACACAAGATGATATTTGAGGGTGAACGTGACGACCTGGCGCATAAATTGTGGGCGGTGCCTTGTCAGTTCTCAGCATCCAGCACATTGTTGCCAAGTCTTCAACATCAAAATGATATTTCGTCATATGGTACAAGAGATATACAGACATGCTGGTTGCTCGAAAAAGTCAAGAATGATCTATTATATCATGACTTACTTTTATTATGTTCAATCTCGTGTTTTATACGACGACAGGAATCTAATCTTTATGATGAATTGATTATAATTGGTGACTTGACCAGGCTACTTCATGAATAGAAATGAAAGATAATTTTTGCGGTATTTCAGTATCATTATTGCAGAGAAAAGTGTTGTTTATCTGCTTGCCTCGTCTCCATTGAGATAGTTGATGAATTGATGAATTACAAAAATATATCGCGTTCCAGGTACGAATGATGGAAATATTATTCAGGTATGTTTCAGATATATATCCATGTTTCGCCTCTCATGAAAATCAGTATTAATTTTCATGGACTTCGATATTTGATGTCATGTTTATTTGCAGATCTGAGAAGTAAAGTGTTTGATACTTGTCACTGAATCGGAGAAAACCATCCAGTCACGACAAATCGAGTAAAACATCCGCAAAGACAAATGGCCAGAGAATAATTTGCAGAATTCAGATCCTTATATTCGTGCGGAAGCGATATACTGATATCCTTTACAGATTCTCAAGAAAACAGATAAGACAGATATTCACCTTTATGTCGCTATGGAAACACGACAGGTGCCCTTACGAGGGGAGAGTATCAACTCGGCGTCCATGAACCCTCGCTTCAAAGAAGGTAGGCGCATGGTGGATGAGGTATATCATTGAGATAGTTGATGAATTGATGAATTATGGAAATATATCGCGTTCCAATTATGAATGTTGAAAACAATATACAGGCTTTTCATAGATTCATATTCTCTGTAGGTCTCACGATTCAAATTTGGAATATATACTTAGTTTTAGATCTGAGCAGCACATTGTTTGGCCTTCAAGGTCCTTAATAAAACCCACGTAATCGAACATGTGGAAGATGCATACTGGAAAAACCACTATACGAAAAAAAAGCGGATATGTAGCAATCTAGTTACGGACGTTGAAAATATTATTCAGGTATGTCTCAGATTCAACATCTATGTATTTCCTCTGATGATATTTTCTGATTCAAATGTACATACTTCGATCTGAATGTGATGTTTAGTTGTAGATCCAAGAAGCAGTGTTTGATACTTGTCACTCAATCGGAGAAAACCATCCAGTAAATACGGACCGAACAGAAGACCCGCAAGGAGAACTGACCAGAGGATACCTTACAGAATTTAGATCATTATATCCGTACGGAAGGCGATATATTGATCACCTTTCCAGATTCTCAAGCAGACAGATAGACAGATATTCAGCTTTATGTCTCTATGGAAACACGACAGGTACCCTTACGAGGGGAGAGTATCAACTCGGCGTTCATAAACCCTCTCTGCAAAGGAGGTAGACGCAAGGTGGGTTAGGTATATACAGTGCTCTTCATTGCAGAGAAAATTGTTGTTTATCTGCCTGCCTCGTCTTCATTGAGATAGTTGATGAATTGATGAATTACAAAAATATATCGCGTTCCAGTTACGAATGTTGAAAGCAATATCTAATATTCTCTGTAGGTCTCACGATTCAAATTTGAAATTGATCCGTAGTTTTAGATCCGAGCAGCACATCGTTTGGTCTTCAAGGTCCCTAATATAACCCACGTACGAAGTTGAAAATGTGGAAGATACCTACTGGAAAAAACACTATTCGGAAAGAAAGCGGATATGTTGCAATCCAGTTACGGCGTTGATAATATTATTCAGGTATGTCTCAGATTCAACATCCATATAATTCATGATATTTATTTTCTGATATGAATGTAATTCGATTGATATGTGATGTTCTGTTGCAGATCAGAGAAGCAGTATCTGATACTTGGCCACTCAATCAGAGAAAACCATCCAGTCCATACGAACCGGACAGAAGATTCACAAAGTGAACTGACCAGAGTATACTTATGGTGACTAGTCATGTTATATGGTTATTTACTTGGTATATCATGATTTGATAGTCTGACATTGATGTGACATTTTCATTGTATAATTACAACTGAAAGTCTTATAATTAGTATCAATTGTATCCACAATTAGGTGACCCCGACTTGATATTATGGAGCAGTTGAGCGAAGGCAATACATTTCAACATCCTTGTTAGTGATTCGATGGAATTTCCGGATATGAAGGCAATGCTGACAGAGTACATTGAAAAAACTTTTGAGGACCAATTCCTTGAAGCCGACTATAGGAGTGAATTGGGCGACCTGGTTCCGAATCCGAAGTGATTTTCAACCTATTTCGACTCCTAATATCATTTTCCGGACATTGGGGTGGTTCCCTGGCTGTTGGTGAGTAGTGTTTATCACTAAAGATGACCCCACTTGTGACCAGTGAATTTCAGGATCCCCACCCAACGAATACGTAAGATACAGGGGTATTTCCATTAGAAGTGGGACATACGACACTGTATAGCTGCCCTAACATTCATAACAAAATAAATAATTCTTCCTCATACATAATGTTTTCATCCATTATTCATTCATTCATTACTTTTCATACAGTTTCATCAAATCCTATATATATATATTATATCTCATTTTTGGATGTTTGTATGATCAGACTTTTTATAAGGTTTTTAATTCTTCCTTCACCTGTAAATCTCTAGTTTTAGCCACTTGGTTTTTATAATATTCGTAACCTATATGTATATGTAACGTATCTCATTTGCATTCCTATGAATGCATCTGGGAGACAAATAAATTATATCTATCTATCTATATACCTTTTATGGAAATTCGAAACTGGAGCTATTTTCGGTTACCGGAATTTTCCACAATGTGCAAAATATGCAAAAACTCCCATTTTCACATTCCATTAATCTATAATAGATCTCATTTTGATACAACTGAATATTCTTAATAGATTTGTTGACACCCGGTATCTACCACTAACCATCTTCACCGCCTGTTATTTTGAATTCAAAAACGCAACAATTTCCTCTCGTTCCAATTAGAAAGCACCTAACTATAGAGTGAAATGAGATGTTAGAGGCACTCTACAGTCTACACCTAACAAAAACAAAAATATCAGGTAGATTATAAAATATACGTACCATTGACCTTCTTCATCGCCTGTTATTTTGAATACAAAAACAGCTTGAGTCTTTTTGACACTATCCGGAGACAGAATAGTATGAATCTTTGTGAAAATTTTTCCGACCTCTCCTGGAAATTCTTTGGCTGCTGAACCAGCACTTGGTCCTGCTGCACCGCTATCTTGAGCTGTTGCGGTTTTGTTGGGGAAAATTTGGGGTATGTTTTCGTCCAGGAAATAATCAGGTGCCAACCTAATAACAATAAAATGAATCAGCATTTATATTCTTGCACTGGACAGACATACTATTGAAATTCACAGAATTTCAATTCATATTGATATTTTAAAACGATCCAACCGAATTGAATGACATTTTTACAGTTTTTTTTATCGCTTGGCGCACGAAAGGAAATTCCTATAATGTTCAAAGAACATCGTGCGTTCCTAGGGAGGATAGGGACAGGAGATAGGTATTGGAATATTTTTTTTAACTTCTGGAGATTGTTTGTTGTTGGGAATACTTCCTCAGTAGATAGATAGATTGCTTTTTCCAAAGAAGTGTACTCATACATTTACAATACACAAATACAACTGAATGAACTGGCGTCAAATGATATGATGTTTGTTAACAAACGAACATCTGAGAAAGAAAGTACTGAAATCTCGCTGGAAACAAAAAACGAACGAAGAATAACACCTCAATAGATTAGAATAACGAAGAATAACAGCTCAATAGATTTTTTCGACTCCTTATCCATTTTTCTTGTACAGTATTCTTGATTAAAAACACGATTTTCTGATTTCTTCAGCTTCTCCTATTTGTTTCTGGAATGGAAGAATCAATATCGTAGAAGTTGAAAAACGTATTGCTCGGAAAGTAAGACCAAAATTTGCTTATTGATTAGTTCATCTAACATCAACATAGAATAAGAAATAAATCTACTGGGTGTGACTTTTCTTGCATAATAGGTACTTCAACATCCTATATCTTGAAACCTGAATGTATTTTGTTTTTTTTTTATGGAGGAAAACTTCTTACGCTTTTATCAGTTGAATTTGGAAAGATCATATACAGGATGTTTCATAATATATGCGCAAGACTTCAGGTTAGGTCAGAATTATGATAGCATATCCAAAAATATTGAAAAAGTTTCTATTAACTTGCCCTCTACAATGGGCCATATTCGAGATACAGAGTATTGAAATTTGAAGATAAAAAGGTTTTTTGCGATCATATCTGGGACAATTTATCGCACATCAGAGAACAGCTAAATAGTACATTTTATAGGGTGAGTTGATCTTCTCATATCTTTGGACAAGCTATCACATCCTGAATTCCTGTGCATATTTTATGATGAACCAAGTATAGAATTTTTATATGATATTGATGGTCCATTTCACCACCATTTCAACATTCAGAAATTCAAATGAAAAATAATCAGGTATCACAACTGTTCTCGAATTTAACACTAATTTGATGATTTCTCAAGTTCTCACTGAAAATCACTATACTAATAACGTCAGGAATCAGTAGCTGAAACCGCAGATATCCAGATACATCTTTAAATAATAGAAATTTCCCTGCTATAATCACGAAGGAATGTGCTAAACTGGGCCTGTCGAGCTCGTCTAACTGGTATTGCTAGTGATCATAGCAGACAGTTCTGATGAACATTTTCCATGGAAGTATCTATAGAGAAGTGAAAAGTCGCCGACTTCTCTAAGGTGTTCTAATGTGGTCAAAGAGTTAATGTGTGTGTGGCATCACCCACCAGACGAATGGCTCTTCTCTGGATGGATTCTAACCTAACTTGGCCTGCGTTAGTCGTAAGTTCTTAGTTTCCTGGGGAGAAATTGGGATTCTAGAAATGAACGCAGTATGGAGTATGGAGTTCTAAAGTCTGCAAAGCTGTGGATAGAGTGAATGGTTGCTCCCAATGGATTGTTGATAAGAAGTAGATATTCAAGGAATTCTAAAGAGAAATGACTATGATGGTCATATGTATTAGACATTTCCATTCTATTAGATTCAATTGCAGAAGGAATTCTTAAGAGATTTGACAAAATTGTAAAATGAGAACTATGTGAGTGAATACAGAACTTTTAGATAACAATTCACCTGAAAAATCTTTATTTCTTAGCCTCTCGCTGCATTTTTCGTGCATTGTACAACGGCACATTGTCATGGCATGCTAGAATGAATAAATAGCCCAAGAAACACGATTCGTATGCCAAAATGATTGTGAAAAACTATTTCAATCCTTCGTAAAGAAATAAGAGGAGTGAGATTGTTTCACTTCAAAAGTCGCCATATACCTATCGAAACTAAATCACAAAAATTGTTTTTCTACGGCTATAACACAAAATTGCTCTCGTTTTACTGTGTTCGATACATCAATGAGGTACTTTGTATGTCATCAATTTCATTTCCGTTTCTGATATCACAATGACTCCATTGTGTTAATATTTCAAATCGATCCCATTGCTCATGAAATGTAAAATTTCAAGCAATGACAGCTCTGTCTGATAGATGAGCATTACTTGAAAGGGAATCAGATGGCTACAATACAAGACGCAGAAATAAAAAATGCTGCTGTTATCTGTTTGTAATTTATTTCTCTGTTTATCTCAATAATTTTCTAGGCGCACCTTGTAGGCCACTTCCGTTATAACTTTCTTATGGTCCTTTATACTGGTATATGATATCGAGCTAGGACGACACCAGCAGTCAATATCGAGACACCGTATTTAAATGTTCACGCAGATACAACAATAAAATCATAGTTGCAGTTAATACTTGTTTTTCACTATCTGAGTTCAAACACTACACTGTTACAGCCAAAGAAGAATTATAGTGTATATAACTCGCACGGAAGGCTTACGGTTCATGCTTCAAACTTCATTCTCGTGGGAAATAATCACTAAGATTCCGTGCTCGTTAAACAATATACTATTTTTTATGACCCACCAATACCTGTCATTATTCTCTGGGTTGCAGGCGTACTGTTTGAAGTCCGTGATTCCTGCTTTCCTGAGCACATCTTCGTCGACGAAGAAGTTTCCAGTGCACGACTTCGGATCCTGCGTCAAGATGGCGTACGCCGAGTCTCCCATTATATCTGTCGATCTGCTCACATCGTGAGACCCGTTGCCCTTCAGCATCACGATTGCAGCTGTGCTGATAACTGAAAAATTGTACAGGGTTTCCAAATCTCTCATAACTAGTATAACTCCTTACAAAATGAGAGTTGCGATTGTATTACCAATTAAGGAAAATGGGAAGAAAGATGTTCTCCTGACCTTCTCCAAAATTTTAGAAAAAATCATGATTAACCGTCTACCTATTACATTATCTTGAAAATTTCATACCAAACATTTTCGATCAATTTAAAGGCTGTATTTCGTATCGTTACCGTAGCAACTAAACAAATTTCTTGGAAATTTATTCCTCCTCCTTGGGTGACGAATCATGAAATTACACTGGAAATTTGTTGACGTTTATAGGTTCAATGACATTTACATTCAACTTCACATTATTTCGAGTTCATTCTATGAATCAATAAATAATAGTTATTTAACCAACTAGTGTATTAATCGCCTTTTGATATACAAGTTGGTTACAAAATTTTTCCGTCGACTATATTTCTCATTTCTCCTGCAATGAAGGAAACTTGGTTCGCGAATTCATCATTCATTCGGAAACTGCTAAGAATCACCCAGTAGCCTCGTTACTGACATCAGTGACATTTGACATTTGTCGAAATGATCAACATAGAAAATAAATTCCTTGTCTTAGAAAACAGGGATTGAAATCGTGTCAGAAACTTGGAAAGGCGTACCCATTAACAAAAAATCTTCGATGAAATCCATATCATCGATTCAAATGCAGATTCCGTAAGTTATAGCACAGTTGAGAGAATATTACATATACGCATAAACAATGAATGCACGCGGTGTATGTTTGGTTGCCTATAAAACAATCGTGCATCAATAGACAAATCGTTCATTAATAGAGGTCATTAATGAACAATTTCATATACATTAAACTTTGTCGTTAATACGAGGTCGACGGAAAAAAACATTTATCAAAAGTCTACCATATGTAGCTATACTTGCAATATAATATTTCAGTGTGAAATTTTCTTACCGAATTCCAATTCAGCTTCAATTAATATCCGGGAATTTTTTCTCGAACACGAATATTTAGAAAACTCTCAAAATATTCGTATTCTCGAAAAAATTTCCGGAAATAATTGAAGCTCTGGTGATATTATGAGTGACAATTTGATTTGATTTGAAAAAAAGTTTGCCCTGACTTTTCCAGCGACAAAATCGGAATCTAACTTTTGAAAGCATGACAACCAGCAATAAACAAATGTTTGATGAATTAAATTGTTTTAGCCGTCTCAGCGAAATAGTAAAGTCGTATTCGTCTTGAAGCTTTTTAGTTTTCATTGACAATTGGTGAAGTTGGAAATCGAATGAGTTACAGGAGACATTGCTTCTTGTTCAGTTGATATAGACAGAGCATGGTACCTATTCACTACTAAAATCTGAACATGAAAATGGTAAATTCAAGATTAATTAATGAAAACATCCTGTAACTCATTTGATAGTTTTTGAATCTGAATAAACAAGTAATTGATCTCAATAAAATTCATTTTATACGAGCATCAGATATTACTCCATTATTTTCAAATCGAAATATTCCGAAAACGAAACACAGGATCGATTTTTACCAAGATGTGGTGTGAAATTGAATGATGTTTGATTTCATATCAAATTTGGGTTGGAGAATCTAACCTCAAAAAAGTTATGTTTATAACTAATCGGTACGAACCGTGTAACTAGTGCCCTTCATGAGGGTCAGATATAAAAACAAATGCATGCGATGTGTCAGGTTCCAAAAAACATCCATACAAAATTGCATCACAATGTTGCCAGTAGTTTCAACGTAATCGTGAAAAATGTGTAAAAAAAAATCTTTTTTTCAACACCTTTTATCTTGAAAACGGATGCCGTTACGACATTTTTTTACTGAACAAACCCAACTTATTTTGCAGTGTTCTAGCTACCCTATCAAGGGGGTCAGGTTTTTTTGGAACATCCTATATATATATATATATATTCCAGAATCACTTTGTATATAGAATGACTTCAAACAAGAAGACCAAGGGAGTTCCAGGAAAACGTAGTATGTATAGAAATAACGAAGATCCATATGTTAAAAAAAATGGACTAGTTCAAACAGAACATTTCATAATTGGTTTTCAAAAAATCGGGGAGTACACATTATTTTTGAATTTTATTGACAATTCTAAATACACCATGGTGGTATACTCACATTTGATCATGGGATTCTTTGAATCAAAATTTCTTCGATGAAACAAACATAAAAGTAGACATAAAATCACTATAACTAATAAGCAGCTAAATTTTTTTAATTTCCACATTGCAATAATATTCACCAAATAAAATGATTGTACCAGTTTTTGTAATGTAACGATTATTTTTATCGGTCAATAAAACTATAATGAAAATTATGCGAGAGTTCAGGAAATCTTTATTTTTATGGGTATTGATGTTTTTTTGTTAGGTAGTGGTATTTGAGTACACTCAACAATTGGTTGACCTTATTTTTGAGCTGTATAGAGTATGAGTATACAGGGTGATCAAGTTGAAACGACAGTAGAGAAATGGATAGAATTTCATGAAATCATATATTATGTCTTTCCATGACAGAAACAATAGAACTATAGTGGTCGCCGGTTCATAAAGTGGACATGTGTATTTCTAAAGAATTATTGAGACCTGCAATATGCTGTCGATATGTTCGTTCCCACTATATATTCTTTTTTATCTTTGGTCGCACGGTATTTCTTCGAACCATCGTGAGTACCAATCTAATGAATAGGGAGAGTACATAGGATGACACACCCAATTAGTGATTTTGATTAAAAGTATACAAGTCATGGAAACCATCCATCCTTCTCAAAGTGGTCCAAATTTTTTTTTCAAAGAAAAACAGAATAACACCAAGTCGGTCGACCACAAAAATTATATTACACAAACTGTGCTGTGACTAGTTTCGGCTCAAGAAGGCCGAATAAAATCAGAATAGTCTCCAAATTCTATTTTTTTTGTGTTCAATAGATGTAATTTAATGTTCTTCGTGGCATATAGCCAGGAAAGTAGTTGTTTTCTGTTGAATAAACCAAGAAATAATAAATATTTCCATCACATGGAGAATGCGAATTCTGAATCTATTTCTTTATACAGTGTGTCCCAAATTCGATCCTCACCATTGGGATCTCAGTAACTATGAGAGATAGAGAAACGGTTAAATTAGCAAAGTTGTAGCAAATTTAATGTTGAATCATAATCTATCGAGAAATCCGGGCTAGCTTCAGTCATTCTTGAGATATTTGAGAAAAACTGAAATCTTGTATTTTTGTTTTTCTCGAATATCTCGGAACCTATTGATTTTATGAAAAAATGACTTCAACATTCTCATAGCACTTTTTAGTGCTCTTTTCAATGGTTTTGTCAGTTTTCCGTCAAAATGTCAAATTTCTGAGATATCACCTACAACTTCAATTTTTCTTATAGACGCCATATTGGATTTTCACAGATTTGAAATCACCATCAAATTTCCTTTCTAGTGATGTATCACACTTACAGTTTTATTTTATTTGGGGTACTGATTTCCAATGTTTGTTTTTATGTCCAGTAGGCTATGCGCTAAGCTCTCTATAAACATTAACGATAATGTGTTCTGGCACAACTTTCATAGAGTAGGCTTGGAGCAAAGGTGAGCCAAGTGACATTTCTGTAAACGTCAAGGAAAAATACAAGTCAATTATTCCGGGGCAAACAATGCCGTTCACAAATCTCGAAAAATTTGATATGTACAATTGTTATATCAGAAATAATCGAAATAACAGAGAAACAGCTAGACAATACTTCCATTTATATCCAGAAAGACAACAACCGCATCCTTCTATTTTTCTAACATTACAAAGAAATTTGCAAGAGCATGGAAGTTTCATTGCACCTAGGCCAAGGTATGGTTTGCGCTTGGATGAACAAGATATTGCAAATATCGAAGGAATCATCAATCAAACTCCTACCATTTCAATACGAGAGCTTAGTCGGAGAACTCTTGTGCCGAAAACAACAATCCACAGACATTTAGTGAATGATAAGTACCACCCTTTCAAACCAGTGATAGTACAAGGGTTAAGACCTGGTGATAATGAACGTCGTCTCGAGTTTTTTCACTGGTTCCATAACCAGTATGAAAGAATCGAGAACTTTCCATTGAATATCTGCTGGACCGATGAAACGAGATTTCATAATAATGGAATTTACAATAAACATTATCATCATTACTGGGCACAAAATAATCCGCATGTCATCAGAGAATCAAAGTAGCAGAACAAATTTGGTTTCAATGTTTGGTGTGGGATATTTGGTACCTTACTAGAATTTTGGTCCATGAATAACTGTTTCTCATTGTGTATTTTTTTCAGGCAGTAGACTACTAGGTCCAATAATCTACGATTATAACTTGAATGGTCCACGTTATTTAGAGCTATTGAGAAAAGAAATTTCGAATTTTATAGACGAGATACCACTTGCTGAATATGAGTTAATGTGGTTTCAGCAAGATGGTGCCCCACCGCACAATACGCGATTGGTTAGGGAATATCTCGAGAATCAATTTGGTGCTAAATTAATTACTATCCATGGACCTGTGAGATGGCCTCCAAGGTCGCCTGACTGTACGCCTCTCGATTTTTACCTGTGGGGCTACGCCAAAAATAAAATTTATGAAGATCCAATTCAAGATATTGATGATCTACGAGATAGGGTGATTGACACATTCCAGAACATCAACAGAGTTCATCTGAGAAAAGCAGCGAATCACGTTCGCTCGCGAATATTAAAATGTATCGAGAACAATGGGGGCCATTTCGAGCAGTTCAATTGATTTTTTTCTTCAGTATTTGTATTATTCAACTGTTATTAAATTTTTTTTCTGCTATAATAGTACACATCCAATTCCATGCGATAAGTTATGCAAGAACATAGAACACAGAATTCATAGCCTACTTGACATAAAAACAAAAATTGGAAATCAGTACCCCAAATAGAACAAAACTGTTAGTGTGATACATCACTAGAAAGGAAATTTGATGCTGATTTCAAATCTGTCAAAATCCAATATGGCGTCCATAAGAAAAATTGAAGTTGTAGGTGATATCTCGGAAATTTGACATTTTGATGGAAAACTGACAAAACCATTGAAAAGAGCACTAAAAAGTGCTATGAGAATGTTGAAGTCATTTTTTCATAAAATCAATAGGTTCCGAGATATTCGAGAAAAACAAAAATACAAGATTTCAGTTTTTCTCGAACAACTCAAGAATGACTGAAGTTAGCCCGGATTTCTCGATAGATTCTGATTCAACATTGAATTTGCTACAACTTTTCTAATTTAACCGTTTCTCTATCTCTCGTAGTTACTGAGATCCCAATGGTGAGGATCGAATTTGGGACACACTGTATATACAGGGTGTTTCATAATTGAATGCTGATCCTTAAGGGCGATAATCCATGGATGATTTCAAAGAGAAAAGTTCATATCAACATATGTCGTAAACCTCTTAGTTATTGAGCTACAGGGTGATGAAATTTCAAGAAAAAAATGAGCTTTTCATCATTATTTCTTATCACTCTTAGATATTGTTATGATATTTTGTATACACCTTTTCATTATTAAGAAGCATTTTTTGACATGAAAGATATTTGGAAATTCTCACCAGTGGCGTCCGTACGGGGTTTGAACTGACAATTTTTGAAGAAAAAAATAGTACGCCACTGATTTTTCTGGGAATCAGATTTTTTTCTCAATTTTTATTCATTTTGGAGCAAATTTGGTTCCTAGACTTACTTTCATACAACGTACCGTTTTCGCGTAAAAAAATAAAACCCAAAGAATTTTGTTCCTTCAGTTCTTGGATATTGTTTTTGGTAATTCAGTAGACACCCACTAAAAGTTGAAACACATTTTGTTTTGGGACGAAAATCGAACTTCTACTTTTACCAGTGATGTCCTCGTATACCTGATATTGAATGTTTAGTTTAAAAAAACGCTGTACGCTTCTGATTTCAACACCCTGTAGCTCAAAAACTAGGAGGTTCAGGCCATTATGTTGATATGAACTTCTCTCCTTAAAATCATCCAAGGATCATCGCCCTTTTAGGATCAGCATTCAATTATGAAACACCCTGTATATCCTTCTTTGTGTGTAATATATCTGAGAATAATCCTTTTCAATTCCAAATTCTCAGTTTGAGATTGTACCTGTTTTGGGCCATAGGGCATTCACGGCGATATTGAAGGGCCTAAATTCTTCGTGCATTCCCAGAACGCACATGGACATCCCGTATTTGGCCATCGTATAGGCCACGTGATTCTGGAACCAAAGTGGGTTCATACTCAGGGGCGGAGAGAGGTTGAGAATGTGGGCATGACTACTTTTTTTCAGGTACGGTAAACAGGTTTTTGATCTGAAACAAAGCAAACTTTCATTCAAATATCAAAATGGGGACTGAGTCTAAGCCTCGGACTGACATCACGTGATGCAAAGAAAATAAGTTGGAATCTCTTCAGGCCATCGTCGTTCTGAATGAAGGATCTAGTGCGTAGAAAACATTAAATGTACACTGATGAGGACGTAAAAAGTCCTCCCCTCCTTTTAACTGGTACCTACCTCTTTAATACTTTTGACATGAAAATGGTTGTGATCACGTGGCCTTTAGTGTCAAGAGGGCACCATCAATTTTTTTTTTTTTTGAATGTAACGAGGATTCACTCAAGTTCCTTCCCAGCGAGCACAAACATCCCTGGGATGTTTTGAAAATGTTGGCATGAAGATGTTATTTTGAGACGTAATATGCACTGACCAAAGAGGTCTTTGAAGGATATTGAAGTATTGTTTTTGTTCTTCTGTGGCATTTCTTTGTTTGCCTACTGAGAGGTATCCCTGGGATGTTTTGGGATGTTTTAGAAATGTAGGCATGAGGATGTTTTTTTGAGGCGTAATATGCACTTCCCAAAGAGGTCTTAGAAGGATATTGAAAGTATTGTTTTTGTTCTTTTGTGCCCTTTCTTTGTTTGCCCCACCACAACGTCTCATGCTTACGTCACAATACGATGAATTCTGATTTTGTTTTCGATTTTGTTCTTCTTGTTCGCAATTGGCATTCGCGTTTGCAGCGTGTCACGCTTACATCACGCTGCTAACGAACAGAAAGGAATTTGGTGAAGTTTATTGTGTTAGAAGACTTATTTAGTTTGTAATAATGACCATCAGATGCAAGATGTGTTGTTCGGTGCCTCAGTGTAATCAATATATAAAAGTACGAATTTATCGATACACAGCTTCTCCGCAGTTGCAAAATTATGCATTGTGGAGAACATTTCAAAAATTGGGAAACCTATTTCCATATTATTATATGTCTGTGTGTAGTAAGCACTACTCAGAAACCGATTAAGAAGGTAATTTCATATCAAGAAAATATTTTTATGTTCAATCTATTTTTAATGCATTTTTTCATTCAAGGGAAATGGAATCCTAATGCAAAAGTTCATTTTGACAAAAGGCTTCAGAAAAGTACCTCGAAAATGTTTTTTTCTCAGCGATTTAATGTGCGCAAGACGCGTTGGAAATGTTTTGTTGTGTCCATGAAAAGGCTTTAAAAAGAACTAGGGAGAAGGTAGTTTTGTGACATATCAAGGACATCTCGATAATTGCCGCCTGCGGCGGACATTGGCTGTTCTATAATAGTTCTATTCATGTGTGAACAGAACATCGCAGTGGAAGTTCAATGTCTCGAAATCTCGTACTTTTAACATCTCTGAGATGTTTTTGTGCTCGCTGGGTGGTTTTGAAGGCCCTTTCATTATCTATCCAACACCGCTTCGTTTGTGCAAAGCGTTCGAAATTGTTTTCAAAAATAAATATTAATAAATAGGAAACCTTAATAACTTGTATGCACTAGAGGACGATAATGTGCAATTCTCCACCGGGTTTTGCTGGCGTAAAGTGTCACTTTACCATGGCTTGCTTGTAAAATACTTCTCTGTTCTCATGAAATAGCTAACTAGTGTATATAATCAAGGGTTTGCACTTTTAGTCTGGTCTTTTATTCTATGATTTCCAGAGGTATATGTAAAAACTTCACAAACGATAAAAAAAATTCTAGAGGTATATTATACATGTTCTTCTTCATTCCATTCCATGAATCTTATCACTCATCACTCTGCTAGCGCACTTCTTTGAAATAAAATGTTGTAGGTATGCATCACGTGCGTAAATTGCGTTTATGACCTTCAGCGTGTAATAATAATATGTCGCATGCCATTAACGCATACTTTACGCCCTTGATACATAAATAAATATTAATTGCAACAAAATTTTGAGCTTCAATGATTGTGACAAGTGCTCAAAAATGCTGAAAGGTTTCACCGTTCATTTATTGGCACGAAAAAATCGGTTTTGGAATTCAATGCGAACGTTATTTGCTGTTTCCTAGGTGAACGATTGTCATTTTGAAACGACTTGGCCGATTTGCACAAACGAAACGGTGTTGGATCGAGAATCGCATGGCCTTCAAAACAAAGTAACACGTGACCCCTTGAAGCTAGGTCACGTGACCACAGAATTTGAACAAAAGTTTGAATAGTCCCTTCTTGAATTGTGAGTAAATTAATATACGGAATTGATTATTTGAGACAAGTTCAAAGCTACCTTCATTGATTCCTTGAGAGTTGTTAATGATTTTCTGATAATTGACTAGGTAATTAACGGTCCTTTTTCATTCCAATCATTGAAGTCGATGGATCGAGTTTTATAAATAACACATTCCAATAACAACGAAATGAATTTCCGAATAAATGGATATACAGGGTGTAATGCAATTGATGGCTAAAAATATATGATAAGGTTCCTTAGCTCATTTCAAGAAGAAAAGTTCATATAAAAATATACCCTAAACCTCTCAACTTTCGAGCTATAGGGTGTTGAAATTTTATTTTCTCTATATTGTTGATTGAAGAAACTTCCAAATTGTGAAAAACTGTCACGTTTATGAGTACTGGTCAAAATAAAACCACGTCGTATGAGAATGGTTTTTATTTCTTTACACGAGAACGGTTCGTCTGACGGAAGACATTCGGTGAGTAAAATTGTTGCAAAATAAATGGGTATTTCAAAAATGATTCTTCTTCGAAAAATCGAAGGCGTTCAATATTTTCTGTGTAAAAATCTCCAGTATACATATCATACGTGGCGCCACTGGTAGTAATTTCGAATCATCTCCTGTATCAGAAAATGCCTATTGGTGCTTGGTATAGTTGCATGTTCAATTTCTTGAAAATATCTAGAACAGTCTTGAAGTTATGACATTAAAACGGTTACTTCCTCGAAATTTCAACACCCCATATATCGAAATGTAAGAGGTTAGGGCATATGTTCATATGAACTTTTCTTATCAAAATGAGTTAAGGAATCATATCCTATATTTTTAGTCGTCAATTGAATTACACCCTGTCTAGGTATCGTAGAAATCCAATTGGATGACCAACTGGCTGACCGAACCTACTGATTTGATAGATTTGAAAGGAAAAATCGCGATCGACTATCAGGCAATTACCAGAAAAACTATGTCAAAGCAGGTCCAAGAAGAATGTTCGAATTCAACCACTGCCTGGAAGTCGATGAAGATCATTTTGAACCTTATTCCTGCTAATAATACATATTTGATAATTCTTCACTTAGGCACAATTGAAAAATTCACCATTTGAACTCGAATATCTTGAGTATGCTTCATTCGAATTCAAGAACATTGCACAAAAGAATTATTTCAGTTCGATCGTCAAGATCTGATTATTGGACGTCTTAAAAACATTCACATACAGTTCTCGATATTTGAATCAAGAATGTTTATTGAATGGTCGTTATCTGGAGTTGGTATAGGCACAGAATACAGAAAACAACTTTAAAAAATAATCCAATGAAAACCTGGTAAAATCTATCAATTCAAATTTCTAGCAATGTTTGTGATCAAATTGTCCTACTGAAATAGAAAGTTAGCTTTTGTAAACTATTTTTCATTGAATTAAGTGTTATTGTAATTTTGTAAGAATACCTTTCACTGGTATCGATAAATGACACACAAAGTGAATAAATTCAGTTAGGACAATCTTGTCATTGCCCTCTTAGAACGGCTCTGCTTGCTAACCCAAGAACATGGCGGAACACAGGAAACATATCCTAAAATATTAGAGGCGCCGACCAAAACTGAATTTTTCAAACGTTCATTGTCTTATCAGATATGCAATATTTATAATTCTCTACCCACAGACATGAAAAAGCAATCATTCGAAAAGTTCAAATCAAAACTTAAAGAATATATCTTTTCCCAACAGTAGATATACTTCTACAATTCCGATAGTTCATTCTTGGAAGGTCTCTGCGATCAAATTCTTAGCAACATATTTTTTTTTTCTTATTTTGTTTATACTCCTCGCTCAGTGCAGTACTACCAGGGTTGAGTGGAAGAGCAATTTACTAGAGATTTGATCTTGACATAAATTGAAGTCCGCCCTTTTCTTTCATAAGCTTGAAAAACAACATGTAATAATGTAAATTACCTATATTAGAAAGAAATAAAGACGATTATTATTATTATTAAGTACATCTGATTGTTGAGTATTCTATATGGTATAGGTATAATTTATGCAAAGTCAGTTGGAAAAACACATCACCGCAAGCTGTCGGTCCCTTTGAAAGTTCAAAGAGTGCGGCAGCGCGGCCCGACATTCGTTTGATGATCTGTTCAACTAACTTTGCATAAACTATACCTACTTACACTAAGAATGTTCCTCTAGTGTTGACCCCATGCATCAGATCATATCTTTTCATTTCAGTTTCTGCCGTTCCTGTCAATGAGATAGCCGAGGCATTGTTAACCACAATGTCGATACCTCCAAATTTCATGACCGCTTCTTCTACTGCATTCTGTACAGCTTTTTCATCTCTGACGTCAACTAAGCATGGAAGGCCACGCCCACCTGCTTTTTCAACTGAAAAATAGATAATTGTAAAAATGAGTAATTAATGACACATATTATCTAGAATCACCAACTTTACAACTCTTCAATTTTAAACTACGAAATAGTCACAATGCTCAAAGTGGAATGGAATGTTAAATAAATTCAAAAACTCAAAGTTATTTCCACACGATGTTCATAAAATGAGCAAAAATACTAGATTTCGGGAGAAAAACCATACATCCTTCCGTAATCTATGCATCGACTCGTATAAATGAATTCTGATACAAGTGATTGTTTCCTGAATGCTGATTTCGATTGAACCAGGCCACGCTAGACATCGAAATCGAAAGGCATTCAGGAAATAATCACTATAGTAGCAGTATTCATTTATACGAGTCGATGTATAGATTTTGAGAGGATGAAATTCAATGTTCTGCGTGGTATTAGCCAGGAAAGTAGTTGTTTTTCTCCTGAAATCTACCATTGTTGTTCGTTGTTCATTTTATGAACATTGTGGGAAAACGAATTTGAGTTTGTGTATTTATCTTCAATTCGTGCAAAAATAGTCAAAAGAATGCATAGGCGTCGCCGTCGCTGTAGTAATTATATATATATCAACATCTACCTATTCCTTTTCTAGAAATAGGCGTATCGATATTTTTGAAAATATCATAATTTATTTTTCATAATATGAATTTGTATATCAAAACGAAGAGATTCTCATCATAATCTTGAGAAGACGAGGATACATATACAGGGTGTCCGGAAATTATGCGCAAAGAATCAAGGGGGTGAGTCTGCATGAGAAAACGTGGAATTCATTTCATTTATACTCGGGTCCGGAGATGCTTAGTTTTCAAGATACAGTGTGTTTAATTTTTTAGAAAAATTCGGTTTTTCATGAATAACTCGAATATCCTTTTACCGATTCTCTTAAAATTTGGCAATGATATTCTTTGTAATGAGAAGCTGATTAAGCTTTAATTGAATTGGAATTGTGAAATCCAGTGGCGTCCCGGGGGCACCCTACCGAATATTATAGTCAATAAAATGTGCGCCACTGATTTTTTAAAATTCTTTATCTTCATATCCTGATGATTAACTGAAAATAAAACATTTTGGTCTCCTGAATTGATTTGCTATTTTGCTGCGTTTCCGTGGAAATTCATTGTATAAATTTGTGCAAAACATAGCTTCGAAATCAAAGGTGAAATTAAATGTGTGATACTTGTCCATAGACTAAGAATAAGAATGAAGATTCATTATCTTCGAATATTTTATAATACATGTTTGATACACTTTGTATTAACGAAAACTACGCCTTCCTCGGCCTTCCTGGACCGAGAATACATATAGTTCTCAATATACAGAGTGTAGAGTGTGTCAAACATATATCAAGGAATATCTGAAGAAGATGAATCATCATACTTATTCTATATGTCTATGGACATTGATCACGCATTCATTTTCACCCCAGTTTTTGAAGGATTTTTTCGGCACAAATTTATGCAATATATTGGTATTTATTTTTTTCCATGGAAATTAAGCAAATTATCAAAACAATTCAGGAGACCAAAATGTTTTATTATCAGTTAGTCAATAGGTTATGAAGATAAATAACTCAAAAAATCAGTAGCGCACATTTTATTGACAATAATATTCGGTAGGTTGCCCCCGGGACGCCACTGGATTTTATAATTCCAATTGAAATATGGCTATATCAGCGCCTCATGACAAAAAATGTCATTGCCAAATTTCAAGAAAATCGGTGAGAGGACATTTGAGATATTCATGAAAAACCGATCTTCTTTAAAAGTTTCAACACACTGTAGGTTGAAAACTATGCATTTCTGGACCCACGTACATATGAAAAATAGTTCTTATTTTATCATGTAGAATCACCCTCTCCATTTTTTGCGCATAATTTCCGGACACCCTGTATAATCAGATTAGGATTAGGATGAGATGATAAAATCAGTGTCCTTTTAAGACTAGACTCCTACAAAGATCAGAATATATTTAATCAGATTTTTTTTAATCATAATATTCATCACATCTGGATGATGGGTGATGCCTCGCTCACCAACTCACTCACTTCTCTGGAACACCGTATTTCCATGTACGATGCTCTTCTGAAATATCAACAATTATTATTGTTTCTCCCTTGGCAGTCCGCGCGAGATTAACCCGTCGAGTTGAGGCTTCGCAGCCCTTCGTGGTCACTTTGGAGACCTGCAGAAAATCTCTTTTCAAAGACTCGTTCATCCAACGAACAGCGAGGCTCTACAACAAATTGCCAAGAGAGGTCTTCCGCGAGGCATATAACCTCCAGAAATTTAAGAAGAACACCAATTCCTACCTTATTTTACTTGGTTCTCACTTCTCACGATGTTCTCTGAACATTACAGGATATCCCTTTTCGTGGGAACCAGAATATAAGCAAATTTCTCAGGAGTCCAAAGATCCTCCGAAGGTCAGGGTCCTCAGAAAACAAACTAGACTAATACTAGGTATACTTGCTGGGCGATTTTGGCTTTGGCGATATCAGGGATATGAAACGTGTAATAATGCTGATATTGATCAAATATACGAATTGAAGAGTGGGTATAGTAGCTTCACAGCAAATCAGCATTCACAGAAATGAAACAGGATGAATTTATCCCGTTAAATTTGGACATCTCTTCCTCAACATCATTATTGAAACACCGTGGAAAAGTCGGCGACCTTCCACTTTTCTATAGAGATACTTTTACGGAAAAAGTACAAATCAGACGAAGTCAGGTAGAACATATTCATTTTTTGTCATCAATTCCGAGATACGTCGAGAAACTGTCTATCAAATCAAATTCCTTAGAGAGAGAGCCCAAAAATAACGAAAAATATTTGGTGGACTTATAGTTTCTGTCTTACTGTTTGTTATCGCCCACTTTTAGCCTTTACGAAATATGTTGGACCAGCAGTTTGCCGTACTTCAGTTATAAATTCGACTATAGAACAAAGTTCTAGTAAACTATCAACCGCATATTTTCAATAAGATATTATAGTAGATATATGTAAAGGTACTTTCACTGCATTAATCATTGTTGTTTTGATGGACAGTTATTTTCGTGACCTTGCACCATTGTTTTGTTGCTGTTTTGACCTTAGAATAATATTTGGATAATTGTGCTGAACTTTATTTTTGTTGTGGAAATAAAATGCATTATTATATTCAGTCGAAGTCAATATATTCGCCCCAGACAAGACGTAGGTATATGAATAATCCATTGAAATGGGAAAAATAACGTTCTTCCATAATAAGTTATCTCCAGGGCGATGAATATAATGACTCAAACGTTAGATTTTTTATTTGAGATTCGTGCATGCTGTCTCCTCGCAGATTTTCACATCAAAAATGGTAGGTAATTAATATTGTTGAGTGGTCCTCCGACTCATCCCAATTGAAATAATCGAACTTGATTTGAAAATAATTCAGATATGTATTTATTGGATTTTGGCAGACGTTCATCAGCGAAGTCTGAACAGTTCCACCTGTATTGTATTGCACCGCACGAAGTAGTGGTATCAGATCTAATGCCGATTTATCTCAAAATTCCTCATTATATTGGATCATTCCAAGGAGTAAGGAAGGGGTGCGTGGGATCACCAAATCCCATAAGAAAAACATCGGCGGATGTGTAGAAAAATCCATATGACAATAGTCAAGTTTTTTTCTCGCACTTTTTCCACAATTCGAATTGAAGTTGTGATTTAGGTCTGGAATAGACGTCTTCGAGGCGTAGATACATTTTCTTACGTTCCAGAAAAGTACTCGATTGTTCGTCTTCAAGACATCTCTGTCGTCCATATACAGGGTATATCTAAATAACACCTTAAGAATTCAAAGGGTGATTCCGTCTGATATTTTAGCGAATAGAGTTCATATAAACATGTATCCTTACTTGCTCCGTTTCCTAGTTTCAGGATGTGAAAGTTGGAATAAGTATCAATTGTTTTTATTTATAGCCCCCCTGTATAAGATTTCATGGTGCCAAAGTTCAGTATGGTTGGAGACTGAGAAAGTCCCAAAATTTCAAAATGATTTCGATCGAGGTTATTGAGTGATCTCAATGGAGGTCTTGAAAATACGCATGCATTAAAATTTGGAGTCAAATAGAATTTTTATTGTTTTCTCAAAAATTGAGCTAGATACAAAAATTAACCAGGGGATGAAAAAGTTGTTATTTTAATCGTTCAATCTAATAAAGATATGAAACTCAGAAAAACCAGTGACGTACAATGACATTCACCATAAATATCGATAAATTTACCCACTGTGACGCCACTGGAAATATTATTTCGAATCTTATTGCACCAGAAGAAGCCTCATATTACTATTAACAAAATCACAAGGTCTTATTGAAATTGATGAAAAGACTACTGAGTAACGAATAAAAAAACGATTCCACATGGAAATATCAATACCTAGTATCTCGGAAACAATGCAAGTTCGGACACATGTTTATATGAACTTTATTCCCTCAAATATCGCAAGAAATCACCCCATGAATTTTACGTCCTGATACATATGTTGCAAATCGACTGAAATAATTGGTCGAGTCTTTTCTATAAACTCATTTCCAAAAATATGATATCGATAAAACATTTAAAGAAACATTATTCAATATCAAATATGTTTTATATGTCAATAATCAAGTCATTGAACGAGAAGAGGCATCAAAAATAGTTAACTATAAGTACATAGGTATTTGTGCATAGATATGATACTAACTTTCTTCGCAGGCCGTATATATGGTCCCAGGTAATTTTGGATGAGGCTCTGCCGTTTTGGCAGCCACCACGACGTTAGCGCCATCTCTAGCTACTTTCAAGGCAATCGCCTTGCCAATGCCTCTGCTTGCCCCAGTGATGAAAACTGTCTTACCAGCAAGTGCCCTGAAATGAAAATATTTTGAAATGTAATATTCTAACTTTATGCTGCTGATGAGAACTCCAGGTATATCCTGAGTACCTATATATATATATGGCAATAATTCAATCATTGATACATTTGCTTTAATCGATTTCACATATTTATAGTGCTGGGTCGAAAAAGTATGTTGATCATTGCTGTCTTCTATTTCTTTCATATAATAAGTATGTTGCATTTTCATTTAGATGTTACAAATATCCTCATAGTACACTGAAGTCACATGGATATTCATAGGACATCCCGCCGGGACATTCGGGACGAACAAAGTTCTCTGGAATGTCCATAGGACGTCCTCAGGAACGACCATAAGACGTCCTTCAAAAAGATCATAGGACGTCCATAGAATGTCTCGAGGACGTACGAATTATTCTTGAATTTGAATTCTTTTGAGTCTTCCTAGGATCAGATTCTGAATAACTAGATAGATCCTGAAGAAGGTTCCCAAGGATGTCCAATAGACTTGCGTGGAGGACATTGAAGGGAAGTATTTATAGCCTACACGAGCAGTCGACCGTCGGTGAGGTGGAAATGAAGGTCCTCGCAGGGACAACATATTCTACGTACTGACTGGGACGTCCGTGGGACGATTTTTTCAGGACACCGGTGAAAAAATGATAATGTAGAGATATTTGCCACGTGGAACATCTAGAGGATGATGTTTCTAGGACATTTGAAATGATGTATCAGCTTATCGGGCAATCCATGGACGTCCTTCCTCGGACATTGCATGAGATGTTCGGGATAGGACGTCCCAAACACAATTATTTCAGGATCGGGATATTAGGACTTGAATTGTATCAAATAGGAATGTCCCTAAGGAGGTTGCGTGCTATCAGGGTAACATCCAGACATCAGAGTTGATGAAATACGGTAAGTAGGTATACAGAGGCTATATTGCCGGGTACAATTTTTTTTATGTTCTGGTTCCCACGAAAAGGAATATCTTGTAATGTTCAGAGAACATCGTGAGAATCAAGGGAAATAAGGTAGGAATTGGTGTTCTCCTCAAATTTCTGGAGGCTATATATGCCTCGGGGAACAACTTCCTTGGCAATGTGTTCCAGAGCATCGCTGTTCGTTGGATGAACGAGTCTTGTACGAATAAACAGTTGATGTCTCTAGGCATCATCAAAAGATTATAGTGAAATCACAGGTAGAATACCTACATAGTACCTACTGACCATTCTTCGAAATTTATTGTCTATCGTTATTCTCCTTTCAAATAATATTTGGGCATTTTTGTCGTTGCTTGCCTACTACCTCGTGTTATTACAATTCAGAGAAATTTAAAGAGAAAAGTCAATATCTTTCACCTGTTAGGTATAGTGATTTTGTATCTTCACGAATGATATATATGAGTTTCTATATTGTGGAATATCTTTGGCCGATTATTTTGTTTTATTTTATTCAATAGATTGAAAAAACCAGTGATATCAGTGTGATGAGAATCAATAATAAAATTGAACTAATATTTTCATAGTTCAACAAGTTTTTTGGACAAAGGCTTTGTTTCAATCATCGAACATAATCATTTAGTTTAGTTTGCAATATGAGAATCGCATACTTTCACGCTGTGGCCATATTGCCCACACAGATATAGCATCCAGTTATACAGAATATCCTAGTTAATCGGTCCAGAGATGTGCATACGATTTTAAATCATCGATTATTTGAAGGATATCCAGTCAATTGATGTTTGAATAAGTCGAGCTCCCCTCTCCGGAATAGTATGCAAATGTTGGGAAACTGATTAATGGGTCCGAATTCATTGTTTCGCCAAAGGGCATACATTCTTAGATTATCGACTATAACACTGAAAAATTGCCACTTCCGGTTCGTATGCCGCCCTTGGGGAGTGATCTAGGCGTATGTAAACCGGCAAGCGTCCCAATTTTCGTGAGATAAGATCATTGCACTTCATTGCCGAGCTTCTTCATTGAACTTTTTTCCAACCGAAAGATGAGGTCAGGGCCGGGGCAAGGACTGGGTTGTGACTCTCCGAGGCACTTCTTCCTGTTAACTTGGACTAAGTGAGTGGGTCCCTTGAATGGCATACCGACTTAGAACATCGATAAACCCTGTGTCGCGGGCCAACAGTCTAGTAGAATACTATATCATGAAATTTCAATCCTAGAAAGGAATAATTCATCCCAGACACCCAAAGATGAGAAGTCTCCGAGTTTTGCCCATTTTCTACATTTTTCAAACATGTGATCTAACTTGCTCCGTTTTTGAGATACAGAGGATGTTGAAGTTGGAAGTATTAATTGTTTCAATTCATAATCCCTCCTGTATAAGCTTTCATGGTGCCAAATTTCAGTATGGATAGAGACTGAGAAAGCCCCAAAATTCAGATTGATTTTGATTGGGGTTATTGGGTAATCTCAATGGAAGTTTTGAAAACACCTACATTAAAATTTGGAGTCAAATCGAATTTTTATTGTTTCCTCAAAAACTAAGCTCAATACAAAAAAGGTGTTATTTCAATAATTCAATCTGATGAAAATATGAAACTCAGAAAAACCGGTGGTGTAAAATGACATTCACCATGAATATCGATAAATTTACCCACTGTGACGCCACTGGAAATATTATTTCGAATCTAATTGCACTACATAGAAGATGCTCTATATTGACTATTAACAAAACCACAACGTTTTATTGAAACAATTGAGAAAAGAATAGAAAAATATTTTTTCATGAAAATATTAATACCCTCTAATCTCATAAACGAAGCAAGTTAGGACACATGTTTATATAAACTTCATCTCCTAAAACACAAGGATCACAAGGAATCACTCATTGAATTCTTTCGGTGTTATTTAGATACACCCTGTATAACAGAGTCGCGGAATTCAAGAATAACACTTGAATATTAATCAAATAAGATAATGTCGTAGATAACTGAATACTACCTACAGCACTGTTTTGATTGTAGCTATCATCATATTATAATTATGTGTAGAATAATATTGCCTCAATACATAATTTTGAAATCTCCTTGTGAGACTAATTCACACAATTTCCACTGTGAATGCACTGAAAATACGTCGATCAGTTATCACTGGGCCAACAATAAATCAATAATGGATTGAAGTACTGCTCCGCCAATATATTGGCGATAAGTCTGCCAGCGGGTCACTGTTTGTGAATTATCATCGGCCAATATTGTGCCAATGATAAAGGTGCGACATTACTCAAAATGTGACGGTCAATGAGGTGATATTTGCTCAATAAGTAGTGGCCAATGTTTGCTGGGAATATTCCACAAAAAAATAGTCTCTCACTACACACAATATACACTCACCACAATACCCACCTGAAAGAACGTCACTGGATTTTGCGTTTCGTGTAAATATTCTGTGATACGAGGAAAAGTTGAATATTATTATATACAGTGTGTCCCAAATTCGATCCTCACCATTGGGATCTCAGTAACTATGAGAGATAGAGAAACGGTTAAATTAGCAAAGTTGTAGCAAATTTAATGTTGAATCATAATCTATCGAGAAATCCGGGCTAGCTTCAGTCATTCTTGAGATATTTGAGAAAAACTGAAATCTTGTATTTTTGTTTTTCTCGAATATCTCGGAACCTATTGATTTTATGAAAAAATGACTTCAACATTCTCATAGCACTTTTTAGTGCTCTTTTCAATGGTTTTGTCAGTTTTCCGTCAAAATGTCAAATTTCTGAGATATCACCTACAACTTCAATTTTTCTTATAGACGCCATATTGGATTTTCACAGATTTGAAATCACCATCAAATTTCCTTTCTAGTGATGTATCACACTTACAGTTTTATTTTATTTGGGGTACTGATTTCCAATGTTTGTTTTTATGTCCAGTAGGCTATGCGCTAAGCTCTCTATAAACATTAACGATAATGTGTTCTGGCACAACTTTCATAGAGTAGGCTTGGAGCAAAGGTGAGCCAAGTGACATTTCTGTAAACGTCAAGGAAAAATACAAGTCAATTATTCCGGGGCAAACAATGCCGTTCACAAATCTCGAAAAATTTGATATGTACAATTGTTATATCAGAAATAATCGAAATAACAGAGAAACAGCTAGACAATACTTCCATTTATATCCAGAAAGACAACAACCGCATCCTTCTATTTTTCTAACATTACAAAGAAATTTGCAAGAGCATGGAAGTTTCATTGCACCTAGGCCAAGGTATGGTTTGCGCTTGGATGAACAAGATATTGCAAATATCGAAGGAATCATCAATCAAACTCCTACCATTTCAATACGAGAGCTTAGTCGGAGAACTCTTGTGCCGAAAACAACAATCCACAGACATTTAGTGAATGATAAGTACCACCCTTTCAAACCAGTGATAGTACAAGGGTTAAGACCTGGTGATAATGAACGTCGTCTCGAGTTTTTTCACTGGTTCCATAACCAGTATGAAAGAATCGAGAACTTTCCATTGAATATCTGCTGGACCGATGAAACGAGATTTCATAATAATGGAATTTACAATAAACATTATCATCATTACTGGGCACAAAATAATCCGCATGTCATCAGAGAATCAAAGTAGCAGAACAAATTTGGTTTCAATGTTTGGTGTGGGATATTTGGTACCTTACTAGAATTTTGGTCCATGAATAACTGTTTCTCATTGTGTATTTTTTTCAGGCAGTAGACTACTAGGTCCAATAATCTACGATTATAACTTGAATGGTCCACGTTATTTAGAGCTATTGAGAAAAGAAATTTCGAATTTTATAGACGAGATACCACTTGCTGAATATGAGTTAATGTGGTTTCAGCAAGATGGTGCCCCACCGCACAATACGCGATTGGTTAGGGAATATCTCGAGAATCAATTTGGTGCTAAATTAATTACTATCCATGGACCTGTGAGATGGCCTCCAAGGTCGCCTGACTGTACGCCTCTCGATTTTTACCTGTGGGGCTACGCCAAAAATAAAATTTATGAAGATCCAATTCAAGATATTGATGATCTACGAGATAGGGTGATTGACACATTCCAGAACATCAACAGAGTTCATCTGAGAAAAGCAGCGAATCACGTTCGCTCGCGAATATTAAAATGTATCGAGAACAATGGGGGCCATTTCGAGCAGTTCAATTGATTTTTTTCTTCAGTATTTGTATTATTCAACTGTTATTAAATTTTTTTTCTGCTATAATAGTACACATCCAATTCCATGCGATAAGTTATGCAAGAACATAGAACACAGAATTCATAGCCTACTTGACATAAAAACAAAAATTGGAAATCAGTACCCCAAATAGAACAAAACTGTTAGTGTGATACATCACTAGAAAGGAAATTTGATGCTGATTTCAAATCTGTCAAAATCCAATATGGCGTCCATAAGAAAAATTGAAGTTGTAGGTGATATCTCGGAAATTTGACATTTTGATGGAAAACTGACAAAACCATTGAAAAGAGCACTAAAAAGTGCTATGAGAATGTTGAAGTCATTTTTTCATAAAATCAATAGGTTCCGAGATATTCGAGAAAAACAAAAATACAAGATTTCAGTTTTTCTCGAACAACTCAAGAATGACTGAAGTTAGCCCGGATTTCTCGATAGATTCTGATTCAACATTGAATTTGCTACAACTTTTCTAATTTAACCGTTTCTCTATCTCTCGTAGTTACTGAGATCCCAATGGTGAGGATCGAATTTGGGACACACTGTATATGTATTCAGGTTATGCTAGGTCAGGGTTTGGTGAACTGAACTAACACTAATGAGAATATTATTGAATAGAGACGTTTTGTGTGAATAACTACTTCTAAAAAAATGTATTTTAAATGTATACTCAATTTCTAATGTATTGATGAAATCCGTACATACCCTGTATTAATCATGTTTCAGTTTCTCACTTAATTCTACAAATAAATTACGAACGGTGCTTTGACGAACGAGCTAAACAAATCGTGCATATATATCAACCTTTGCCTCATGAAAGTTGATGTTGGACTTCGAGCTCCGAGCCACAAATTATCTGTTAGATACCAGGGTATTGCAGAAAGTGCATGAGACCATCATGAGGCCTAATTCAATTTTGGCCAAAAAGTGTTCGAATACATATATGTTTGAGGTACAGAGAGTTATTTCTATAAATGTTGTTTGCCTCGTAGTCGCCGTTGATATACAGGGTGGAAACTCTAACTGGAATAAATTTGCTACTGGGGGAGTGAATGATTTTTCAGAAAATTCACGAGACAAGTCAACGTTTAAATGTATTTATGCACTAGCGGGCGGTAAAGTGCACTTTATTGTCCAGATTTGCGGGCGTAAAGTGGTACTTCACCGCACGCGGGACCATTATCGCCCACGGGCCATAAAGTGCACTTTACCGCATGCTGTTCTCAATTTCCTTATATCCATACATCCATTTGTGGAATACCTATATTTGAACTCTCATCAGCTGATTCTATGGTTATGATTATGACACATATATGTTATTGTTCATCCAATTCCATCTTCGTTATAACTTCCTTCTTTGATCGAATAGTTGCTTTCTGGCTACCTGAAGTTTTTAGCCAAAAGATGGCAATTTCAGATTGTTTTTCCCTAACAACACCAGTACATCCTAGGGACTTCCCATGGACGTCCCTGAATTTAAACTAGGATATCTCAGGGATGTCCTTTGTCAGGACAACGGACATACTAGGGATGTCCCGCGGACATCCGCTGGCCGCTAAAAAAGGCATCCAAGGGATGTCCTTCTGGTACGTCCCTGGAATGTACCAAGTACGATGAAAGGATATCCCTAGGACGTCCCAAGGATATCCCAGGGACATCCTTTCGACAAAAGAAAAAAAGGTGCAGTAGGGATTGAACCCGGGACCTTTGGCTTATCATGCACGCACCTTGCTCCATTGGCTATCATGCCTCCTGAAGATTTATGTACTAAACAGTATTATAAACAGGACTTATTTACAGAAACCTGAATAAATGCAACTTTATTAGGAATTGGGTATAATTATTATCATTCTTGGGTGTTTAAAAATGAGGGGCATTATGCATGTACGATTTATTCTGTCTGCGAAAAATGGTAATTTCTTAAGAAGTTCTGAGACTTCATTCTTTATTTTCATTACAATCATTTTCCAGAAGAAAAACAAACATTTTCAAACAAATTCAACTCAATAGTTTGATGAAATTCAAAGACTCTGATGTGAATGGATATCAGATACTCCAGGGAGACGAATAGGGTAACCTAGGGATGTACCGGGCGGGATGTCCACTGATGGACAACCACTGCAGGAAATCCCCTGGATGTCCCAATCATGTCCTTGTACCGCGGGACAAAAATGGGACGTACCTAGGACATCCCTGTGTTGTTAGGGTTTGGATATATTGCTTGACAGCAACCATCAGATTGATTGACAACGTCAAATTTAGGTAACTATATACTGCGATGGGTATACATATATTGTTACATCTCAAGGAATGAATCTCTGTTAGTGAACAAAGAGTTTTAGTCTTACGATAATTAAGATATTCCTACGGTAATTTCAATATGTAGACTATATACACATAAACATTGCGCTTTTCTTGAAAACTGAATGTATGAGTAACATGTAATAGCAGATATAGCAGCTCTGTGGCAAAAAATTGCCATCAATTATTCAACACACATTCTGAGCGATTGTTAAGCTGAAAAAAAAATTAATTATCAAATCACATTTCAATTTCGTGCAACCTTTAAACGTATGAAAATCGAACATTTGACTAGTACGCTGGTTTCCTCTTTCCACCGGCTGTCTAACGAGGGGTCACAAGCCATAGGGTTTTATTTTAAAAAATCATGTTGAGGGTGGTTTCATCTACCCCTGGAGAGATATACCTATACCTATTCTCGATATTGCTTGCGAAAGATAGAAAAAACATTAAATCGTTGACATATGCTGGGAATTTTCAGAAAAAATATTCTCCTTCCCGCTATAACGAATTTATTCCAGTTTAAGTGTCCACACTGTATTTTTCGCGTATCAACTTTCATAGAAATCGAATTGTATTTTTTTCTCTTAACCAAAAATTATAGAATCTTCAACCAAATTGAATCTGCATAAAAACTACCTACCTACCTACGCAATATACAATATAATAATATAATATATAATAAGTTTCTCGATATGAACAAGAGCATAAATGCATCAAAAGGGGAGACCTAATTGAAGCAATACTAATTTCGTCGCACCCCAAAATTTTGCCTCTGTTGAAATATGAATAACTTTTTTCTGCTTTGAACGATTGGAATTTGAATCACACTGTTCGCTAGTCCAGTCCTTCAGCTATAATCTCGTAATTATTTAAAACATAAGGTTCTTCACATGAAATCGCTACAGGGTGTTACCTGAAACTGTGAAAAATTTCTGAAATTTCAGAAGTATCCCAAATGAAGAACAACTTTTTTTTCAACATCGACAGTAGAGGCATGTAGATGATCTCATTATGTTGGGACAGTTCTCGATTCGTCTCCTTATCTCTTTTATTTACAGCGAGTGGTCTCAACAAATTAACTTTTTGGTTTTGCTGTCATAACTTTTTTCCTTGTCAACCGATTTTTGGAATCTCAGGCTCATTTTGAGGCTTGAACTTCACATGAAGAGATATTGTCGCAACTCAGATGGTTTTGGTAGATTATTTGGCAAACGGCGTGTCCACCACATGTCGCAACTCAGATGTTGCCCTCCTATGGATCGCAACTTGGCTACTCGCTTGGCTTGATGAGAGGATTTCGATCATTTTACCACCCAACCATATTCATCCTCAAATGAAGTCAAGATAGTTTTCGTATAAAATTAACATTTATTGATTTACTGGGAAAGTCGTAAATGCTTGCCACATGGCAAAGTAGCAGAGACAAACAATAGTAAATTTACCAAACGGAACACAACACAGAAAGAACAAATCAGATAGAACATGGAAAACAGTACTTACATTATGACATCTAACATGGGGTTGACCAGCAGGATCAAAGTCGGGAAGACGGTACACATTTTGGCAGCAACTCGTGAATAAGTAACTCAATTACGGAATCAAGTAAAGTGTTATCGAAATGCATTATAATTAGTAATGAATAATCAATAATAATGAATGATCAGTAATTGAGAAATGGATGATCAATAATCATCAAAAATCTGTAATGAATCTAGTAATGAATGGCTTATCGATTCGGAATCTATTTATATTTGGAATCGATGCTAACATTGCAATTTTCCGCAATGGCAATGCTCGATGCCGGGCGTATAGCTTGGCCCGCATCGCAAGCTAAGCGGTTTCATGCAAATTTTACCGGAACTAGAGTCTATGAACTCCGTTTTGACCTGATCGAAACACTGTACAAGATGTTTTAATTTGGAAAAGTTAATTTATGAATGAAGATCTAGAAATGAACGAAAGTTATTTCATAGACATTTGTACTTCTTGACAATATGAAGATCAGAATTGACTCAATATGAACGTTATACAGTGTGTCTCACTTCTAATGGAAGCACCCGCCCTGTAACTTTCGTAAATGTTGAGTTGGAATTCTGAAATTTGCAAGAGCGGTAGATATACTGAAAATACACTCTATGACCAAGTGGAGTCAGTTCCATTGATATACACTGCTCACCAACAGCCATGGAACCATGCACCCACAAAAATTATATAAGGAGGCAAGATAGGCTGAAAATCACTTCGGATTCAACATCAGGACGTCCCTTTCGCATCCTCCTGCAAATTTCAGAACCCTAACTCGATAATTACTTGAGATACGAGGGTGCTTCCGTGAGAAGTGAGACAAAATTAAATTTTTCTGAACTGAAAATTTTCCAGGAAGAATATGTACTTATAGTCAGTGAATTGAAACTCCTGATTCCGGATCCGAAGTGATTTCCAACCTATCTTGGCTCCTAATAACATTTTCCAGGAATTTTGGGTGCTTTCATGGGCTGTTGGCGAGCAGTGGAGATGACTCCACTTTGTCATAAGTGTGTATTTTCAGTATATCTGTCACTCCTGTAAGTTTCAGAATCCTAACTCAACAATTACGAAATATACAGGGGTGCTTCCATTAGAATAAGTGAGACACACTGTATAATGTTCATCTGGAGTCAATTCTGACTCTTCATCTTAAGTTTCAGCTTCAAAAACCTGTGTCAAAAAGTTATGACTGCAAAACCAGAAAGCTAATTTTCTGAGATATCGATCACTATGTGAATAAAAGAGATAGGAAGACAATTTGAATGTCCCTAGGTAATGAGATCATCTTCATGTCTATGCTGTCGAAGTGAAAAAAAAAAGGTTTTTCCCAGCAAACACAGGGCAGTAACTGTAAAGTACTATGGAAGTAATTTTGCAACTAATATCCGCGTGCGATGTACGAAAAACATCTCCTCCCGCTCTTATTTGCAGCGAAATGTCCGCGACATCAAGTACGCATTTCATTAATTGTGTTGTTCAAATTGAGATTTGATAAAATAGCCCAAATGAAACATATATCCGTATAGTCACTGTGGCAGTTTTTGAGACAATAAATGTCGTATTTACAATCACATTGGGCACATTCATGCGAGGATTCTCTGAGACTTCTCCATTTTATTCCTTTTGATATGGTGACTTTCTCGAATAGACTTCTTTGCGATGTTTCTCGATGACGATCTTTTCAACTAGAAATTCAACACATTTTGTGGTAATGACATTGTGGTTGTTTATTATTATCTTGAAATAATAATCACTGCATCTTAGATTTCTTGTTAACAAAGCGAATTCTCAATGTAACCACGTTCAGAACAAACATGCGTAATCAAACTGAAAACATATTTCCATTTGCAATTTGGGACTTCGCGAAACTGCCATGTGATGTAACGTGTTTGCTGGGTTGTTCATTTGGGAATCTTTTGAAAATTCCGAAATTTTTCACAGTTTCAGGTGACACCCTGTAACGATTTTATATCAGGGACCTCATATTTTTAAGAAGTACGAGATTATAGCTGAAGGACTGGGCTAGCGAACA